ATTCATTGGACTTATCAGATGATATGTTACTGACAAAATGCCCCAGCGTTTGATCCATTTTCACACCGTCTCCAAGCACCAGGTTTAACATTTGAATTGAGGGAAACTGGATACAGGCAGACAGTGGACAGCAAACTAATTGCACAGCTAGGCTGATGTGTTAACTCACCAGCCACCGTAAGCAAACAGGCCACTGTAGAGTGCCAGGCCAATACTTCCAAACTCATATTTGGACCCCTTGAAGGAATTCTCTGGAAGAAGTCCGACTGTATCACCTGGAGAAGACAAAAGGATTAGGATTTAAAAAAAAAAAGAAAAAAAAAAGCCCCAGTTCACCGTCTGCGCTATTGGTCCACGGGCAGGTTGACCAGTCATTCTGGCACAATACATAAAACACTGACCAGTGAATCCACAAGCCAAAGAGCCTTTGAAAGGGGAAAAGTCTAATATCATGCTTAAATCCGCCCCACTATGCAGATCAGTGAAGGACTGCAGAATTACTGGAGTTAAGACCTGGCTGAGACAGTCAATAAGTAACCCAGACAGCGGCGAGGCTATGCGGGTCGACATAAGGCTCACGCAGCCTATAAAAGAGGCAGAGTTAAAAGACGAGGGAGAGGGGCAGGAGAAAGCCTGTGGTTAAGGATAGTTCAACTTTTTAACATGTGCGTTATTTCTAATTATCATAGCTCTATGGATCGCGCCCTCCATCCAATGGCATATGAGATGCTAACGCTGATATAAATGCAACTTGTTCCAGCAGACAGCATTTGTATTTCTCTTCAAATCCTGAGCCCTTATGGGGATTTATCACATTCTGATCACTGCCTCTTTTCCCAGTCCTTCAGGTTTCTGCTGGTTGTAGGGGATCTGTGTACAAATTCCTGCTCTCCACGACATGCATTCTCATTCTCAGACATGGCGACGGTTGCTAAACCAACAGCCCCCGGCAGTGTTGGTACTGGGAGGGTTAGCCGTGAGCCAATGTGCAGCGTGGGAAACGCCCGATTACTGTGCAGCCTGGTCCGACGGACAGCCTCATGCATTGCTCCACCTATGATGAGGCAGACAGATGTGCAGCCACAGTGTCAAGAGACCATGGCGCCCCCCCAGCGGCCAGCTTGGGGGGGCGCTCACTTGTTAAACAGCATTAAACGGCTCTTTATGCTTAATAAGTTAGCACTGCCAATATTACAGGACATGGCAACAATTACCTGTGCACACTTTCTTGTCTGCTGTTAATATTCCCGTAGCTTTGATGCATTTAAACTGAACCTAGGCGACAACCTAAAACATTGTTTTTTTTAAAACAGCTAAAGTGAGAGGTTGTGCCAATGCCCGTCTGAAGAAGAAGTTTGATTATTTTGAACAGTGAATCATGCAAAAATATCTATTGCAAGAATAAAAGTATGGACTGATAATCTACATGATGGGTCCCCCTTAAGATGGATTGCTTTTAATATTTGAGACAGTTGTCATCTGAGTTTGCCTTTAAATATTCTGCTGCAT